GTTTTCAAAAGGAGACTAATTTATTTTCTGTAGAGATTGCCTTTTATTTCCTACTAGTAAGGTTTTAAGGCTAGGCACATGACTTGGGAAGTTATCATTCCCACCCATGCACATGCACCAGAACTGATGCATGTGGGCATTGTTTTTTCGCATTTACATACATATTACTTACTGTGTAAATATAGTTAAATGACGGTACATTTTGTATCTGGTCTACCCATATAATTATTTAAGGAGGATTGAATCTTACACCAGTTTGTAATCACTCTGTACCCTTCCTCACCAATTTCTAAGCCCCTAGTGTCCAGCTACTAAACTCCTGACTTATCCCTAACTCAAAATCTTTACTCAGTTCAAAAACTAAAGAAGTAGAGAAAGTGGGCAATTAGAGCAGCTGTGAAAAGTTAAGTTGGATGCATTCAATAGGCTGCTTCCCACTGGGCTAGCACTGCAATAGGCAGAGAAAAGGGAGCTATCAAAAGCTCACATGCAGTTCATTTATCCCTGGAAAAGGGAGGAGTAATGACTTCTTTAAGATGTAAGCTGCTTTTGAATGGAAAGGAGGATGCTAAAGGGAGAGCACGTATCCCTGCTTGGGACTTCAATTCTGGAAACAACTGACCTGTTCTCTAAGCCGGAGAAATTCCACACTGAGTCGCAGACAACTAACTACATTTTGCTTCCTTCCAAGCCAGCAATGTTTGACTAGCACTAAAAAACAACCCCCCCCAACCCACCCACCCACCAGTGCACAAGGCCAACAGGGTGGGAACAAATGAAGAGTGGGACTGGCTTATAGGCCAGACACAGGCCTACCCACCTATAAAACTCCTGGAACAGCTTCCACAAATTGGGTAATCATACTGATACAAAAACAGAACCTTCTTTTCCTTACATTGCTCAAAATCTGTTTTTCACACTATTCCACTGTAAACACATTGAAAGCAGACATCTTACTCATCTTCCTACCACCTTCCCACCCATTCCCACCACAACTCACATTCAAAAAGATTGCAAACGTCTTGATCCTACAAGTTATTTTTCATTGACATTGCTTGCTTATAAAAGATGAGTTTTGTAAGTCATCATTTTTAATGGTTCCATCATTGGTAAGTCACAAAACTACTCTGGCTGAGAGTGCTGTGGCTAATACTCAAAGCTAAAGTCATAGCTTTCCCTACTTCATTCCCCTTTGGTTAAATCAGAGGAATAAAGAGGCTGAAACTGGGGCTTCAAGAAGATATTTTAAACATGTACCTTCCCACGTAGAATTAAAACTGATGACAAAAATAAACAAGAAAACTTGATGGAAGGAGGAAAGTTCCTCACACGGCATCTACTCCAGAGTACCCAGCAGTCTCAGGGATGACATTCCTAGGTCACTGTCCTTGAAACAACAGCCTGCCATATCCTCGTAATTCTTCCATGTTAGAAATGGTTATTTAAGCTTTCTCCTCTTTACTATATAGTTATGTTTAAATGTTTAGAATGCATTTGAGGCTCAGTATAAGGATACAAAGTGTTGGACAGTGAGGATATAGAACATACCTATATTTTTACATCTTTTTTTTTTCAGAAATAATTTTGTACACTACTTTTTGCTCTAAGTTAGGTTTTCCTAATAAAGTTCTAATGTCTGAATCAGATTCCCCATAATAGGAGCTACATAAGTCTCCTGATCTAAAAGCATCAAGGAGCTTTATATCTATCCTTACATAGCATTCATCTTCTGCTCCCCAACCTCTGATCTAACTCCTTGAAGCCCTCAAAACACTAGAATTTAATCCAGTATTCACTGCCTACAATAAACCTTCACCTACTGTTCAATTCACACCTTTCAAATCTAATCTGCAAGAGACACAACATCCATTTAGCCAAAGTGGAAAGTGACAAGCAGACCAGTGTTGAAGATCAAATTCACCACAACCTGGGGAAATCACCTAACATACACCTGAAGGGCTGCAGAGCATATATTTAAAAACCCTACCTCTGCAGTTACATGTGACTTTAAGAAAGTATTTTAAGTAAGAAGTTTAAAGGAAATTAAGAGAAATATGTAGAAATATGTTTATTGTACTTTTTAACAAGATCAACTAGAATCAACCTGAATGTTCTATAGATTTGATTTAAGTTTATGTATCTGAACCTGATGAAATATTTTAAGTCATGAAATTATTAAAAATCATAATATCTATGAAAACCCAGAGTATTTGCCATAATCCTCCTTAAAAGAAAACAAACTATATGTATATATTTTTATTAAGTATACATACACATATATACACAAATTATATATATAATTCTATTAGAAAAATATACAGATAAGTGAAAAAATTAAAATTTATAAGGAGAGTTATATCATTTATTCAACAATTTAACTGAGGGTGTACCATGAATCAGGCCCTAGGTCAGATGCTAAAGCTAAAGTGGTTTTAAAAAAGAAAAGACAAGGGTTGTCCGCAATAGCCAAACTGTGGAAAGAGCCGAGATGCCCTTCAACAGATGAATGGATAAAGAAGATGTGGTCCATATATACAATGGAATATTACTCAGCCATCAGAAAAGATGAATACCCAACTTTTACATCAACATGGATGGGACTGGAGGAGATTATGCCAAGTGAAATAAGTCAAGCAGAGAAAGTCAATTACCATAATGTTTCACTTACTTGTGGAACATAAGGAATAGCATGGAAGACATTAGGAGAAGGAAGGGAAAAATGAAGAGGGGGAAATCGGAGGGGGAGATGAACCATGAGAGACTATGGACTCTGAGAAACAAACTGAGGGTTTTAGAGGGGAGGGGGGTGGGGGGATGGGTTAGCCCGGTGATGGGTATTAAAGAGGGCACGTACTGCATGGAGCACTGGGTGTTATACGCAAACAATGGATCGCGGATCACCACATCAAAAACTAATGATGTATTGTATGGTGACTAACATAACATAATAAAATTTAAAAAAAAAGAAAGAAAAAGAAAAGACGGGTGCTGGGTAGCTTGGTTAAATGATCGACTCTTAATTTTGGCCCAAGTCATGTTCACAGGGTCATGAGATCGAGCCCCAAGTTGCGCTCCATGCTGGGGTATGGAACCTGCTTAAGATTCTCTTGTTCCTCTGCTCTCCCCAACCCCAACTCCTGCACACTCTCTGTTAAAAAAAAAAAAAAAAAAAAGGACAGCTCTGGCCTCTGCCTTCTTGGAATTACAATTACATTACTAAGTGAGTAAGTGAAAATAAATGCTCTTATGTAAATATGTGGGTTTTATTTTTTTCTAAATAATAATGCTAATATGTTAGTATTTTAGTAATATTATCTAGGCTTTTTGGCCAGGTGTGTGTTACAAGGCCTTTGTTGGGGGCTAGACATTATGACACAAATGTCAAGAAGTAGCACACAAAAATGATAACTATAGTCTCAAGTACCAGTGGTGCACCATCACTGAAGGTGCCCTTTCTCATACATCCTGTAAAGAGAAAGAAGTCATGCTGAGGAGGACCATGAGGCAGTCCTCATCCTTCTCTCTACATGGCTTAGTACTTTTCATTAGAGCATTGAGGGAGGAGGAGTCATTTATGACTTCAAGAGACCAGCTACCCTCCATTCCTCTGAGTAACTAACACTCCTAAAGGAGCAACCAAATAAAGTGACCACCTGGCACAGCACCTCTGAAAGACTGCCACCTTGAACTCTGAATTCTGACAGCGATTTATCCAGAAGGAACTTTTGTGAACGTAAGCAAGCTAAAGCCACACAATGAATCAAACTCAGTCAGCTTATCTTCTCCTGGAGCCTTTCTGTGGTGGGGATAACACTGCCCTTTCCTTTCACAGCTAGGTTTGGGCTTGCTACTTAGGTTTTCAAAATTAAAAATATACTGTTTAGGAACACATATATAACTGACAAAACTATAAAAGAAAAAGAAATGATAAAGGAAGAAGAGAAATGTGATTGTGGAGGGGCATGTCAGGGATTATAAATAGTAGTAAGTAGTATAAATAAGTAGTAAACTCCAGGTGTGGTCCATGGGCCAGCAGTGTCAACATCACCTTCAAAAGTTTGTTAGAAATGCAGAATTGCACACTCCACCTGAGACCTTCTGTATCAGAATTTGCATTTATGTAATGTGTGTCTACACATTAAACCTCGAGAATCACAGTTCTAAACAGTTATAATATGCTATTTTTATACCTGGAAGATGGGTACCTTTAGTATTATCCTCCAAAATGTACATAGTCTATACAGTCTTCTGATGATGTGACATGTCTCTAATTCAGCCTACATATGGACCCACTGTCTACAAACTGTTAAGTAGTAATTGTTAAAATGTGGGGGAAAGGAATGCTACATGAATCTGATCTTCAAACAGTACAAATTCAGATACAGATAAAACTTCAGGGATCACATAACCCAACCTCTTCGCTTTATGGGAAATAAAACCATCTGAATCAGGAAGGGGCATGCCCCCCAGGGTCAGATTGCTGAATTACTAAAGCAAAGTTGGATCCGAGCTCAAGTCTCCTGATCCTCAATAATATTTTATATCCTGTAATAACACTGGTTTAATACATCATGACTGAATTTTTCCTTTAGGAACAAATACTCATGTTAAAAGAGAAATCAGTATTAAATTTTTAAAAGGAAAAATAATTCTTAAAACCAGTACCTTGTATATTTAATAGTAGATGCCCAATATGTATTTGAATGAATGATTCACTCTGAGGCAGAGACAAACATTGTTATCCAACTCTTCTTAAAGGGATGAGCTAAATTATAGAATGATTAATAAGTAATTTCCTTATGAAAAAAAAGAGTTCAATTTTAGACAATTTATAATAGCTCCTCTACAATAACCAAAAATAGCCCTTATACTTTTATCAAAATCAGAATATTTTACATGTTTATTATTTGGGTATGTGAATCTGTTTGATTTCAGTGAAATCAGTATCTGAAGTAGGACTTTTAAGATTATATAGAATATTAAAGAACAGTAATACTCACCAATACTAATTTCATCATCTGTTTCAGCATCACCAATACATTCAAATTGGAAATCCTGCAGTGACTGGGAAAATTTCTGTACTGCCATAGACAGATCTGTAATTAAAAAGTTAAAAAAAAAATCATAAGTTGAAGGTACCATGGAATATGAGATTTTCCACATGCATTACTCTATAACTTCAATTTTAATACTTTATTTACCAGAAGCTTTTAAAATACCAGCTTGACAAATTGAAGCAGATTTTAAAGAGACTACTAAAGAAATATTTTAGGAACTGGAACTGCTCTGCTCACAGGGGATTTACCCCTTTAAGAAAGTTTTGGTGCCAGTTGTGTATTATCTGGAAGCCAATTCCCAAAGCCTTTATCAAAGAACTACCATTCACTCCCCATAAATGGAGCATTTAGAAAGAAGAAAGAAAGAAAGAAAGAAAGAAAGAAAGAAAGAAAGAAAGAAAGAAAGCCAAGAAAGTCACTAAGGTTGCTGATGGAGTGGGGAGAAAGGGAGGGGAAAGCAGCCAATCTTTGATTAGAAAGGATCCCTAATGTACAGACTACAGAGCAGGTAAGGAATGTGTTTTGATCTCCTAAGGCCACCTAAAAGGCTGTTTATGAATAACCTCATGATTTATAGGGGACCTCAAGCTAAATATATTCTTCAATCCTGGCTTCAGTCTGAACAAAGTCCAGAATGTGACTAAATCCAGAAGAATTCTTTATTCCTGGAGAGAATAAAGAAAAGCCCAGAATAATGAGAAGTAAATCCCTGGGATGCAGCCTCACAGAGTGATTAAGAATGCACTCTGGAGCCAGGCTGCCTGGGTGGAAATCCAAGTCCTACCAAGTACTTGCTATGTGACCTTGGGCAAATTATTTAACTCCTCTGGGCCTTTGTTTCCTCATCTGTAAGGAGCGAATAACAACTGCATAACCACCTCACACAGTCGTTTTAAGGACTGAGTAAATTAACATTTGCAAAGGGTTTAGAACCAAGCCTGGCACTTAAAAAAACACTGTTTAAGTTTTTTAAGTAAAATTATAAATCAATCTGATAGTGCAGCATCAGAGGCTTTAAAGATCCCACCTCTTGTGAAACTACTCTGATCATTCATACCAAACTTTCCACATAAGTCTGTGCCAGTAGCAGAACATATTTTTCTGGAATTCACTCTATAACTTCATTTAGTGGTATCTCCCATGAGTTCAAGTCCAATACCTGAACTCTTACATTTAATTCAAGCAATAGAAGCCAAGAGAAGACTCTCTCCTTAACAATGTTTAGCCAGACTCCTCTGAGCCCTTACCTTGACTAGGCTTCTACCTTGGCTCCCAGTCCTCACTGGCCCTACATGTAGTCCAGTTTTATCAAGAATCTTGCCAAGTCAGTTTATAGAGAATTCCCCACTTTGGATACAGGATCAAAATCTTCATCCCCTACCTTTGTCCTTGGCCTACCTTCACCAAGAATCCTCCTTCCTTTGATGTCTCCTACTAGTAATTTTCCATTCCAATCAAACATCCCCCTAACCCAGCCCCAAGCCTGATCCTTGGCTATAAATCCCCACTTGTTCTTATTTCATTCAGGGTTGAGTATGATCTCTCTCCCCTATTGTGATAGATAATCTTGACACTTTTAGCATTCTTTTTTTTTTTTTAGTTTTTTTTTTATTTATTTGACACAGAGAGAGAGCACAAGAAGGCAGAGTAGCAGGTAGAAGGAGAGGGAGAAGCAGGCTCCCCTCTGAGCAAGGAACCTGATGTGGGGCTCAATCCCAGTACCCTGGGATCATGACCCTGAGCTGAAGGCAGTTGCTTTTAACCAACTGAGCCACCAAGGCACCTCTAGCAGTTTTGAATAAAGTCCTCCTTAACATTTTAACCGGTGTCAGAATAGTTTTTTCTTTAAGAGAACAGTTTGGCCCCATGCCTAGACATGACCCCAGGACTTACAGTGGTAACCCACCATTCATGAAACCCCAAGTACCTATCAAAGTTAAGTACTCATGAATGAATAGGTCTTCAAACACTTTTTTGTGCCATTGTGATCCAAAGAACTCAACAACACCCTGAACAAAGACAATTCTGAAGCTGACAGGCCTTAAGCTTCAGAGAAGCTTTTTTAAAAAGAAAAAATCAAAATATACACACAAGAGAAATTTAAAAAACAAAAAACAAATTAGTCTCTGGAAAGATGATGCTACTCGTAGATTACACCTCTTCCCACAAAAGGGCTAAAACTTTGGGCCAGCTGCATATTCTTCTTGAGAATTACTTTCAATTTAAGAGTGTTAGAAAGTTCTATCACCTTAAGAATGGCTCTCCATTGGGCTTCCAGAAAGAAAGATAAAGAGAGCCTTCTTAATGAATTATTAGTCAATGAGAAAACAAAGGCTTCATTAGAGCTAGATTTCACCAATTACCTTTGAGCCCTTGGACAATCATTTATCCTCCCCAAAAACTATTTTTCTTATCTATACAACAGAAAATTAATACTGATCTCAAGGGGTTGTTCTAAAGACTAAACGAAGTATGTGCCTGGTACATACTAGGCAACTCAATAAATGGCATCAGTTATTATCATTCAAGTCCAACTTATAAAGTTGGGAAGGTTGACTGGCCTTCCAGACAGAAGGACACTATGCAAAAGTATGCATTTATCTGACAGTGCACAGTGCACAGGTAGAGAAATCTGGCTATGGGTAGAGAAATCATAACACCTACATCAAATGTTATGAGAAGACAAAGAAAGAAAGACTCCTGGGATAATTTTAAGTCAAGCTGTATGTGGGTACTCTCCCTGAGATGGGAATCACATTCCATTTAATGTCCCTTTATTTTTCTATGTACAATATAAACGCTTATGGTAAAATGGATTTGAAATCACAGAGCAATTCCTACAGCAGAGTTGAGATGGGGGATAGTGTATATGGATGAATCAGGATGCTTAAAGAATTTTATGAGATATTCTTCCTTCTCTCCCCTCCTCATCACTAGTTCCTCAGAGTTTCCCCTCAAACAAACACAATGAGCTATCTGGAAGCTTTGTCTTAGGGAACTCTAACACAGTATCCCCTAATTGACCATTTCTTCCTAAAACACTCTTTGCTTCCCATGGCCTTGCTCCTTGACTAAGAAAGGTAAGCTGCTTTGTCCTTATGCAGACATCACAGTGGATGCACTATAAGAATTCCTGTTCCCAAACAAGAACCTAGAAGCCCACTTTATAAGCTATTTTTGTGAATATAGCCAGTGATTGAGAATGTGAGTTCTAGTGGCAGAGTAGCAGGGCTAATTTCCTGCCTCTACCAATCAGTAACATAACTGTGGGCAAGTTCCTTAACTTCTCTGTATCTCAGCATCCTCATTTGTTAAGTGGAATAGAACCTGTCTCTCAGGGTTATTGTGAAGAGAAAGTGAGTTAAATATAGATGAAGAACTTAGAACAGTGTCTGGCACACAATTAAGCACTCAAAAGGTATTGGCTATTTCCATGTTAAACATCTTAGAAAAGAAAAAAAATAATTCAGGAACAAAGGTGGCAGCTGTTAGACCTTAGATAACCTTGGAAAATGCCCAAGAAAACCATCTGCTGTTGATAGTAGTTTCAAATTCTCTCTTGGTGCACTGTAATCAAGCCATGACAATGACAACCTGATTATTCAGTATTTCTGTGTAAGAGATAGGTGTCTATTTCAACCCTGGAATGAAGAAGGCATGCTCTCTCCATAGTCCTTTCAGAAGCATAACAAGGCAGAATTACATTTTAAAAACTTGGTTCTCAAGTAATTCAGATGATAATTCCAAAAATAATGAGACGTTCGAAATATGACTTATTTTCAACTTCAAGTGTCTGGGTTCTTGACTTTCCTCTTATTTGTTCTCATTTTCTAAAAACCAAAGTAATAATCAGGTCAAAAATATTATCAAGGTAAAGAACTTATGATATTTTCTGCCAAGAATATTGATCAATCTTCAAAATGAGGAATCCAGCTCACTCTCTTGGCTCCATCTTCCTCTGAACTAGAACACACAACACCTTTTTTTTTTTTTAAAGATTTTATTTATTTATTTGAGAGAGAGAATGAGAGAGAGAGAGAGAGAGAGAGCATGAGTGAGAGGGGGTTGGGTCAGAAGGAGAAGCAGACTCCCTGCTGAGCAGGAAGCCCGATGCGGGACTCGATCCCGGGACTCCAGGATCATGACCTGAGCCGAAGGCAGTCGCTTAACCAAATGAGCCACCCAGGCGCCCCACACAACACCTTTAACTGACTTGAAACCACATGAAAAACACTATTCCCTAATTGTCTAAAGTTTCTGAATAATGGCCAGATGCACGATACAGAAGTACTGGTTCTAAACCTTTTAAATAAAACTGATTCACATCTGACTATAAAACCTGATTTTAAAAATTCTATTGTTGAATTTTAAAGTGTCAAAATGTGTAATGATAAGAATCTACATTTTCTCTTAAGTACAAAAAGAAAGATCAAGCACATAAAATATGACAAGCAGAGAGTTCTAGTTTAGGCAAGGGTGTCTCTTTCTCCCTATTTCTACCCAACTATTAGAACTTGAGAACAAACAAGAAAAAGATCCCAGTCAGAGCCACCTGGCCACATTCTAAGGTGAAGGTAGAGGAATAACATTTACCAGCAAGCAAGGTTGTACACAGTAAAGACACCACAAGTACTACCCGTACCACATCTTTTCCATTTGCCTAACCTACAAGTTAAGCAAGGATGTCTTCACGTATATTCACATTAAGTTAAAAGAAATTACACTGGGCTTTAATTAGTCAGCAGTGTTTTTATATCAAAGAGTTAACCTGTAGCGCCCATGATTAGATGATGCTAATGAAACACTAAAACTTCATTTCATTAGAGAAATAAAACACACGTAGTAAATAATTATAACTCTTCTTATACATTAAGAGCTACCTTTTACTTTAGAAGTGTTAATGGGATTATTTTTATAATGTTAGCTCAGAAGTGAGCTATATTTATGTCAGAGTCCACCGATACAAGGCAGTTCTTCCTGCAACCCAGTTGCTCTGAGATTAGATTTAAGACTCACAGGAACAATATATCCCAGACGTA